AARKKGSCYKRAAARRAWKTTTTTTTGTAAAAATCAATAGCATATAAATGGAGCATTTACCAACCACACGGATGTAATGATCTTAATAATACGATACTATATTTGAATATTCTAACGGACTAGTGGATAAATCCACTACCCGAGACCATTATATTTTCATATTTTAACCACTTCCTTCATATTTTAACCATCTAGACCCTATTATATTCTAAGAATCATGGTGGGGTTTGTTTTCGAAAATCTTGTTTTAAACGCGAGAAATTTAGAAAAACCTGACACTGACTATTGTAGAAATGGCTAAAATTGACATAAACATCGCGTGACTATGACTTCTCAAAACCGTCTAATTGCAAAATAAAAATATCAATCGACTTCATAATGGTAAGGACAGATAATAATAAACATCTGGATGTAAGTTTTGACTCAACAAATCATTTTTAAAAATGCGATTGTAGTGATCATATGGAAGCACTCTCCAGCGATCCTAGCGACCTCGATCTGATCTCGAATCTGAGCGATTCCAGCGATCGAGATCGCTAAAAGGTGTTTCCATATGATCGTTACGGTTGAGCCACATAATTTCGGCGATCGTGGCGATCCTAGCGATTGTAACGATTATTAAGTAACTTTATAAAATTTTTGATATACAACGCGCGCTCTGATTGGCTGACGACCGTGTTTATATCAGAGGACATGTGAGACACGGCTTACCGGCAAAATTTCCTTTTCGCTCGAAAAATTTTATAAAAAAAATATAAAACGGCCGCTTGTGTCTCTGTCCTCTGATATAAACACGGTGGGAGTTGAAAAACACTTAAGCTTGCTTCTCTCGTGTTTTTCGAACTCCCACCGTGTTGATATCAGAGGACAGAGACACAAGCGGCCGTTTTATATTTTTTAAATATAAATCCCAAGTTTTGTTTGAAGCTACTTGAGAATTTAGTGTTACTGGATATAATCAGACTATTTTATAGGTATAATAGCGGCTGATGCGTCATTCTACAATCCAGACTCGGTTTAAATATTATATGGTCAGCTCAAAACAGAGAATTTTTATACTCAATCTTGGTCTTGGTCCGTATTAAACATTTTCATTTACGTGGACGTCCTCTTCCTTATGTTTGAGCATATCTATAGTCTGCAATGTACTACTTTAAATGTATYAAAGTGGCATAGAACAAGCAAACTTACCAAGAATCTTTATACCAAGAAGTTCCCTCCCAACGTACGCGATCCAATCGAGCATCTGGTTATACGTACTGCACAGGAAGCCCGATTTGAATACCGAAAGTACAATTTTTTTCTTACAATTTTTTTTTTCTGTTTATATGTAGTTCTTTGTTCCTTTCTCCATATTATTATGAATATTTCTTTTCCACTGTCTTCATCATGACAGATGCTTGTTTCCAGAAAAACTTGAGAATAAAAAAATGTTATGCATCTTAAATATATTTTATGTATTTATTTAAAAAAGCTTTTCTAATATACATTATTTCTCAAATTTCCAGGTTTCGGTTTCTGAACTACTGCCTGTTCATTGGGATCCTAGCTAGTGCAATGCTTGGACTGGTTGGTCAGTCAGATAAGAGACCAGTCAGTTCCAAAAATGTTGGCGTCTTCATGAAAGACCCCATTAACAACATCCAATTCATGTGGTGTTTGCTTATGTCCCTGTGGTTTCTTCTAGATGAGTTCTCTGAATTTCGACGGTAAGTTTCTTTCCAGGTTGAGGGAATGAGAGGATCTTTCATGAGGGAATGAGAGGATCTTTCATGCTGGGATACCAAACATTAGGATATTGAACGGGATGAATGTGAACAATAAATTGAAAAGAAATTAAAATGCACAGTATGGAAGTCTCCAATGGAAACAGACATTTTTTCTCTTCTTGGTTTTCCTGTATTATAATCTTGACTGAGAAGAACTGGGGTCGAGAGATTACAAACAAACCCTCCCATCTGGCAGCTTTTATTGCCTTAGCACAGGAATCAGACAGAGAAGAGTTGCAAGTGAAGGAGGCTATATGGTTGTGTTTACATTGTTACTGCATGTACAAGCTCACTAGCATCTTGTTTTGATGCAAACTTATAGCTACTTTTCAAGAAGACACAAAACTCTGTACATTTATCCAAAATATTCACTGAATGCACGATTACTTCTTCCAGGGAACCACAGCAATACGTCAGGGATTGGACGAATTACTGGGATGTGTCACGCAATSTACTTTTGATTGCCACAATGTTTTTTAGATTCTCCACTGAGCACCCAACGTTTTGGTACATAGCATCACTTACAGTCTTCATGAATTCCATGGGAATTTTCAAGTATTCACTCGTATTCAGGTCAGCAAGTGCTCTATATTTTCTACAGAAATGGACCGTCTTTTATTTATTATTATTATATAATTTAAATATTTTATATAAATTATTATATAATTTATTTTATTTAATTACTGCATGAAGATTGTGCCATTGTTTACGATCTGGCAGGCATCTAAGAAGAAACTACCATCATCTCATCTCATCTTGGTCGATCTCCCGATCGAGCCAAATTGACRAGATCTTCCCACCGAGTTCGGTCCAGCATTACATTCCTGACCATGTACCTGGTGATTCAGTCTAAATCAGAGTATTTAGCACTTTGACCACCTTAGTCAAGTGCCTTTGCAGTTGTAATAAATATGCCTTTTCATCAAGTTCTTCAGGGTGTATACAAGACTTTTTCTTTCAAGAGGTTCTTGGCAAAGGACCTATTCCTTGCCAATAACCTGA